AGAGCGTGCGCACGCTCAGGTGCTCCTCCAGCTTCTCCAGGGCGGCTGCGGGGGGAGGGGGTGGTGAGGCCAGACCAGAGGCCTCGGAGGGCAGGGGGTGGGGGTGGGGGCAAACCCGGGTGCCTGCTAGCGGGCAGGGGAGGGAGGGGTCAGAGTGCACACTGCTCAGGAGCTCCAAGCTCCGGGAGCACTGCAGGTCTGGGGTGTCCCAGTCCACCCTGCCCCCAGCCAGGTCCCCAGGGGCTCAGAGATTTGGAGGCATGAGGTTCGGTGCCCTGTGCAAGTCCGAAAGCCCTTTGTGTCTTACCCAAAGTGGTCTGCCACCATCCTGCGACCACTGTGACGCCCAAACAGGCCGTTAGTTCAGCACCTGCCTACCCAGGTGCAATGGGGGATGATTCCAGTTCCCCGGGGACCCCGAGGTGGTCAGAGTAGAACTGTGCTCCACAGGGCTTCCAGTATCTGATTTTGGGGGGAAATAGATTACCCTAACTCTTCTGGGGAAGCTAGGGGTGAATTTGATTAGAACCTCTAACCTTAGGGCAGGCTGCGAAGCACACCCACTGTGGACACCCAACTTTGCTATTGAAGAACGGAATGCCTTCAGGTGCCAACCCACAGAGCTCAGTGAGCCCCAACAAAGCCTTCTTTCTACCCTCTCCAGTCCCCTTCTCCAGCCCCCCCACATGCCCTCAGTCTGCTTCCCTCCCCTGGGGTGAATGAGCTCAGCAGACCATGCTCGAAGGCCCATGCAGGGCCCAGGAGCTCAGAAAAGGCCTCCCAATTTCTAAGTCAAAGAGAAGTTGATGGCATGTGAGACTTGGAGTCCGGAACAGCAGCACCTCTTGGCAGAACGAAGCCACCCCACTCCTCCAGCTGCGCTGTGATGGGCTGAACTGAGGCTGAGACCTAGTGGCCCACAAAACCGATCATCTGCACTTATTCTGACACTTGGCAGAAAAGGGGAGATGAGCCTGTTTTGTCTTCCAGCCAGGTTCCCTGCTGGGTGGTACCCCCTCTTGGATCCCTAATACTGGTAAAACCCCATCCATACATGGGGCCCCCAAACTCATCTCAGCCAGCTCCCTAACTCTCAGCCAGCTCCCTAACCCCACTGGTCTCTAGATTGGCTGCTCTATGAGATGGACATGGGGGGAGCGTGTGGCTCATTCCCTCAGCCCTCACTGTGTCCCCTCTCCCTCAGGCCCAACTTTACCTGCTCAGTGATCTGTACCCCTCCTGACCCCACGGCCTCCCTGCAGGCCCTCAATTCTTTGGAGCCTGATAACCAAAGGATCCAGCCCTGCCCACATGCACCCAGCACTCGCCACGGAATGTGCACCCTACAGGCTCAGTGACAGAAAGGGCAGCAGTATCATCGAACCGGTCATGACTTTGTGTCTGCTACTGTAACAGGAGACTTGGTGGTGTAGCTCTGTGCTGGACTGCTACCTGGAAGGTCAACAGTTCGAAACCACCAGCTTCTCAGGAGAAAGATAAAGCTTTCTACTCCAGTAGAGGGTTACAGGCTTGGAAACCCACAGGGGCAGTTCTACTCGACCCTATAGGGTATCGACTAGCTGGCAGAGGCTGGGGGGCGGGGGTAGTGTTGACTATAGCAGGAGGCCTTGGTGATACAACAATCGGGCAGAAAGGTTGACAGTTCAAGCCTCCCCAGAGAGAGCTCTGGGCACTGCGAGTTGCCACAGATCCATCAGTCTGATGGTGACTAACAATCCAAACCAAACCAAACCTACTGTCATGAAGTTGAGGCGGACTCCTAGCGACCTACGGGGTTTCTGAGGCTGTGAATCTTTACGGGAGCAGGCAGCCTCCCTTCTCTCCTGCTGGTAGGTCTGAACCGCCCACCTTGCAGTAGCAGTCGAGACCCTTAACGGGTTCTGTAAGACGTGGACATACTCCATCCACCCACTAGTGGGCGGCACCGGGGACGCGGGCACACCGAGTACCTGAGTAGAAGGCAGCGCTGAAGGCATAGATGCACATCCCCCAGCAGCCCATGGTGACGCCGCTGTTGTACTTTTGGTATTCTTCCGATGTGTGGGGGGCCTTGGGGTCCCCCTGAAACACCACCTCGCCCATGAAGTCTGTGTAGAAGAGCAGCATCCCCTCAAACGACAGCCACCCTGGGCGGAGGAGGCGAGCAGTGAATAGCTTGTTCCCACATTACGCGGTGGGGTCGGTTTGGCCTCAGGGAGACCCTCGTGTGTAGCCTGCAATGGCTCCAGGGGGGTTCAGGGCTGAGACCGCTTGCCAGCGGGCTGCCAGGCCTTTCTTCCGAGCTGCGGCCTGGCGAGTTTGAACCACCAACTGTTGGGCTAGTCGTTGAGAACACGAGCTGTGCCACTCAGCAACCGCTGGCATCTTTGAACCCGTTTTAAAAAGTAATGAGTAGTTTTTGCAGTTACAAAAGTTTAAATCGCCCAGAGCAGCAACGCCCCCCACCCAACTCTGTTACTCCGTCTGCAGGTTTCCTTTGAGTCTTTTAAAAGCAAATATTTTTATAAGCAAAGACTCATTGCAAGCCGGCTTTGCACTCTGCACTTGCCCCAGGGACCCTGCTAAGAAAGCTGACCCACACTCCCCCTCCTGCCAAATGCCCCACTCACCCGGCTGGGCACTCTCTCCTGGCAAGGGGCTGAGGCCTGGGGCACTCCTGCTCTGGGGGATGGGCTCTATTCATGGGAGAGAAATATTAGGAAGCCCAAGGGTTGATACCCACTGTCCACCTGGTTTCTCACACGATGGTGGCTATGCTACTGATATCTCAGATACCAGTGTGGTCATGTTTCGGCAGAGCTTCCAGACTACGACAGGCTAGGAACAAAGGCCTGGTGACTGACTTTAGAAAATGAGTCAATTCGAACCCTCTGGATGACGACAATGTGATCAGGCCCCACAAGCCAGCCATTGTGAAGATGGCCAAGTTCGATGGCTGGAATCAGAGCCACCAAGAAAGGCCGACAAGCACACGTCTGGCCAAGGCAACGTGATCCTCTCATTGGTGGCACCTGGGTTCATTTGGTGCCTTCTTGAAGAAAGGACTCACAGGGGGTGCTCACTTCGAGGGTGAGCACACCCACCCCCACCCCCAAGCCTACCTAGGAGGTATGGTCGCACCCTGGGCTCCTCAACCCCTGCATAACCGCCCCCTGTGAAGTGAGGCTCTGGGGCGTGTGGGGTGGGGCAGAAGCCGCGCAGGGCGGCTCCGCGCTGGGCAGGCCGTGTGGGGAGGCGTGGCCAGCAGCTCACCCAGGAAGTGGTTGACGCAGAGGTTGCGCAGAGCCTTGGGCATGTTGCAGATGGTGGCGCAGAGGCGCCGCACGGACAGCGGCTGCTCAGACTGCTCGCCGGCGCCAGTCAGCTCGCTCTCGTACTTGACGCCGTTCAGCAGGATG